CTCCTTCCGAAGGGCTGCACGGGCACATACATCTCCACGGGGAGACACTTCCGTGCCTCCCTCAGCAATGTCCCAGGCTGCTGCCACCCAAAGCCTGGGTCTTTCCTCTAGGTTGTAGGGGTTTAATGAGGGGATTCTCCTGTCCTGACTTTTTAAATGAGGCCGCAAATATAGGAGACTGGAAGCAGTTATGGGTAATTAGGTCATAGCCTGTTTCTGTGCCCCGACATGATCTGCTTTTCACCTGCCATGAAGAGCAGGAGAAGGATCAGTTTGCACTTTTGGGGAAGGCAGGGCACTCAGCAAGAGAACTGGAGGTCACCTACAAACCAAGCCAAGCACCTGTAACTGCAGAGAGATCCAAGCCACATCCGTATTAGAATTATCACCAGATCCAGTCTCAGCTCCCAGCTCTTCCCAAAGTGTGGCTGTTGTACAGAGCCCTTGTACTGGTGCCTGAGGAGGTATTTGCCATCAGGAACATTCAAGGCGTCCTTTCAACAGCAGATACCTGCTGCCCCCATTAAAAGGCCACGCGAGGAAGGAGACCCCCATGGCCTCTCCACCCGCATGGTGACTGCGCCCTACCCCACCTTGAAGTCCTGCTTTCTTGTCCCCAGTTACCTGGAGCCTCATCCCACACTGTGCAGCAGCCCAGGGGCCCAGCAATCAGCCTGCCCAGCCTGGCACTGCCCTTCTGTGGCCCAAGCCAGGTGCTGGGTGACAGGGACACAGGCTGTCTCAATCTGCCTGGGGTGACCTGGGAGCGGGGCAGCCTGGGGCTGTAGCTCCTCTCTTGGGCAGACACTCACTTGCAGTAGGGCTGTTGGGCAGGGGGTTGTCAGGACCACCACGCTCAGCCCTCTTGGCCCCGGGATGACCGTCATGGTCAGGTTTGTCCCCAGGCCTGGGTGGCCTCCCTGTCACCCCTGGTCAGACAACATTTGGTCAAGGGGGTGGCGCAGCTGCCAAGTGCCCAGACAGGGCAGGGAAGCAGCAGGAGGGCCCGATCACACAGAGAGCCAGGGCCACCCCATCATGGTCCAGATGATGGGATAAAAGAGGCCCTGTTCCCGCTCTGGCTGGGATGCAAAGCCCCCAGGCGAGCAGCACAGCGCCGCAGACTGGATCAGGTGCCCGTCTCCATTACAGGAACTGCAGGAGATCCAGCCAACACAACAGCTCAACTCCCCAGCACTGCTGTCTCAAGGAAGAGCAAAATCTTCCCAGGCTCTTTCAGGAGGCTTTTCTTTTTTTACAGAGAATGCAGGCAGCATGAAACCCCCTTGGCCACACAGATTCCAAAGTGGTTTTGTTGGGCATGTTTTGATGACAGGCATCTGACCACATTCTCTTGCAAGAACCAGCACCCATCACCAAAAGCTCCCGCTTGCAATGGGGTGGGCAAATGGGCACCTTGCCCAGACCCACGGCTGTCCCCGGCCTCTCTGATCCCTGCTGAGTTGCTGTTGGGATACAATGAGCGCTGCCTGAACAGGGTGTGGACAAAAACAAACCAACAAACTGCTAAAGCTCAAACAAACTTCCATTAATCCCTGGGACCAAAACACACATAAGACACAGGGTGGTCCTGGGGGCATCTGAGGCCAGCCGGGACTTTCCTGCTGCATGCGGGGGGGATGCAGGAATGTCCAGGAAAGGAGCGGGGATCAAACTGCCGATCCCAGAGACACCCTTATTTCCTGCCCCTCCTTGCTGGGAAAGGCAGCGTCACCTCCTCCTCTGCCCAGCTGCCCTGGCAGCCCCGCAGAGGGGATTGCGGCTGCACGGGGTGCCCTGGGCTCCTGCCACACCGAGGCCCCTTAAGCCGTAAATAGGAAGGATGAACACAAGGAAGACCCTGCACCGCCGGAGCGCTGCCCAATATCCAGGGGCTGAGGACAAAACAGCCGCAGCAAGAGGAGAACCCTGGCTCTGTCCTCGGAGGCTCCTTTCTGCAGCCCTCCCTGGGTACCTGCGGCCTCCTGCTCCGCACACGGAGCCCACCCGCTGCTGGGAAGCTCACAGCCAGGGAGAGGCAATCCCGGGCAAGCGGCCTGCGGATGTCACCGCTCGGAGGCTTGGCACGGGCCCTGGGGACAGGCAGGGACCCCGGGGGGGCTTCACCCACCCAGCCACTAATGCAACCTGCTTTTCAACTGGATTATGAAATAGGCTGGAAACACACGTGCTGCGACATCCGCAGGGTGAATTTTGTCCCCAGCAGGGACAAGCCTTGTACCTGCTGCCTTGTGCCCACAGTCTCCAGGGCTGCTGGGGAGTCACAGCAGGGAGGTGTCCCCCACCCCAAAGTGCACAGCCCTCCCCGCTGGGGCTTTTAACCTGTGACAGCAGCCAATGCACCAGGAACCTCTGCAAACAGCACAGCAGGGCAACCTGGAAACCCGCACACCCTCAGGAGTCCTGCAAATCTGCTCCTGAGAATAAACTAAAAAAGGAAGAAGAAAAAAATGCAGCACCTACCAGGAACACAGGGCCTGCAGGAGCTGGGAAGACCAGAGCAGCAGCAGCTGATGGCAGCACATGCATCAATGAGGGCTGCGGCTGTGTGTCTCTGCCATATTTATAGGTGGGCAACCACCAACCTGAGAGGACAGAGGGGCTGCTTTGCTTTCCAGGTGAGTTATCGGATATGGCAAACACCTGGCCCATGCACACCCGAAAGCTCCGTATGGGAAGCTGTGTGGAGCCGTGTGCCACAGGGTTCCCTCTTGCCAGAGGGGATAACCGGCCCTTCCCGGGCAGCAGGCGCCAGCGCTTCGGCCTTCGGAGCCTCTCCGGGCCACACTTCCAGGGAGTCTCCCCTTGCCCGCGGCCTCCCCGCTGTCACCGTCACCACTAGGGGCGGAC